GAAGAGCNAATCACCAGTGCAGAAGCTTCCTTCATTGACAAAGAATGTGGTCTTGAAGAGATGTGAGGCCATTCCTAGTAAAATTCAATGTGCTTTCTGTCTTGCATCAGAAGAATCAGAGGTATTTCTCACTTCCTTCCCTTTATATTCTTTTTGACAACTCACTATTTTCATCCCCTACTCATCTGCATATAAAGTTCACCTATAGAATTCAAAGCTGACATTCATTACCGTCAAAACCTTAATTACAGGCTTCTGGAGATATAGGTCACTACTATAATGGCAAGCCTGTCGCTGCGGATCACAATGGAGGACTCAAGGTTATACATGCACACAGGACCTGCGCTGAATGGTACAATACACACACACACACACACACACACACACACACACACACACACACACACACACACACACACACACACACACATTCTACAAATAAGCCAAGACATAGTTATGTTTATGAGTAGATTTCTGTTTAACAAGACTGAAATTAATTTATTCATAGAAGCATTTCTTTAGATACTCTCAACTTATAAATGCTCAAAAATATGTGCAGGGCTCCCAATGTCTACTTTGAAGAAGATACTGCTATTAATCTTGAAGCTGAATTAACTAGGAGTCGTAAAATTAAATGTTCTTGCTGCGCAATTAAAGGAGCAGCTCTTGGGTGCTACGAGAAGAGTTGTCGTAGGAGCTTTCATGTCACCTGTGCAAAGTTGATGCCTCAATGTCGATGGGATACTGTATGTATAACAAAATAAGTGCTATTTTCATTCACTGTTTTCATTTTCCATGCGGTATTCTAATTCCAAGTGTGTTGAATCAGGACAATTTTGTTATGTTATGCCCCGTTCATGCCTCCTCTAAGTTGCCAAATGAAAGTCCTGAATCTCAAGCAACGAGGAAGAAGAGCAATCCTAAAAAGTATGTACTTTTCCTCGAATATCTAAAGCTTAGCACATGCAAACTCATATTTTCTAAGATTCTCATTTATGCATTTTTCTTTCTCTGTTATAGACAACCGAATGTTGAATGTCCTAAAGTTGCTGCTAAACAAGACAGCAATACCCCTCCAGATCAGAAGTTTTGTGGACCGTCCAAGAAATTGGTTCTTTGTTGTTCATCCCTCACAAATGCAGAGAGGGTAAAAGAGCTTCTTAGAGCCTTTTTTTTTTGTTCTTTTTTTTTTTTTCATTCTCTTCCTTTTGGAAATTGAAATGTTCTAAATAGTTTCACTAATCCTTGCTGGTTTGAACTGCAGGAGTCTGTCGCTGGATTTGAAAGATTATCTGGACTTATGGTTTTGAAGAATTGGGATTCTAATGTTACACATGTTATTGCATCGACAGATGAAAATGGAGCATGCAAAAGGACCCTCAAAGTTTTGATGGGTATCTTGGAGGGGAAGTGGATCCTGAATGTGGAGTGTGAGTATTACTGTTTCTGTTTGAAATGTTCTCCCTCAAGCACTTGGACTTTACAATTATAAGGAGTATAGAAGCCTGACATGAGCTATTTATATCTGATATAGGTGTGTCTTTGTCTGTCTGTTTGTGCAGGGATTAATGCTTGCACAGAGGCCATGAAACTAGTTGATGAGGAGCCTTATGAAATCAAGGTCGACATTTATGGAATCAGGGATGGTCCTCGACTTGGTAGACTAAGGCTGCAGAACAAGGTTAGCTTTTCCTTGAGTTCAACTATCATAACGAAAAGATCAGATTTTCATGAATTCACGATATGCATTTGTCCTTGTTGGGTAATAAACAGGTTACAAGCTTTTTTTAACGAACTGTTTTATATGCAGCAACCAAAGCTTTTTGATGGATTCAAGTTTTACTTCATGGGAGACTTTCTACCTTCGTACAAGGGGTATCTACAAGACCTTGTAATAGCTGCCGGAGGAACGATTCTGCAAAGAAAGCCTGTTCCAGAGGGCCAAAAAGCCTTGTCAGCCGGTTCCCCCAAATGTCAAACCTACATAATTTACAGCCTCGAGCTGCCTGATCAATGTCATCGTAGCAAGAAGAGTACGATTTTCAACACTAGGCAGGCTGATGCAAAGGCTTTGGCCAGTTCCGATGGAGCCATGGCAGTGAGCAATTCATGGGTTTTGAACTCCATTGCCGCCTGCAAGTTACAAAATCTTTCTGATTTCGAATAGTATACATACTGCACAAGTCCTGTAAATGTTTAGAACTTCTCCAGAATCCAGTTCTTATTTCAATTTAGTTACTTTGTGGTTCTTTTAAACTGTGAACATAAATGATTATGTAATTCTTCGTTGCTTCCAATCAATTATGGCTTTCAATCCCTTCAATGTACAACTCCAAGTTTTGGGAATTGCTTGAATCAAATGTGTGCTGAGCAGTTAAATTATGTGATGCAGCTGCTGATTTGTTACCGAAATTCTGCTGTACAGAAGAATGTGAGAAAAATCAACTATTGATATCCAGGATGAACTACGAAACAAGAAGAAAAATCAGAATTACAACTCTTTCGGCCATTGTAGATGCAACCTAGAAACCTGAACTAATCCATTGCAAAACAAATATGCAACACCACTAAATCTCTTCTACTTCTGACAAATTACAACTACTTTCCTCATTTATTATATAAACTCGAAGAATTTTAGTTGTTTTCATGTCTTGGCAATCGAAAGACAGACTGACAAAACTGCAAAAGTGGAGAGACCAGGCTTTTCTGGTTTCTAGTCACCCCTTGTTCTAATGCAACAGTACGAGGCAAATTAAGTAGTGTTGATCTCAGTGTTGTGTTTTGCACTTTCACCTTTCTTCGGTTCATGCTTCGAAATCTTCATACTGAAGCACTCAAAAAGATGTTCCAATGCTGAAATCTCCTCTTCGATATCTGCTGCTTGCTTTGTGGCAATCTTTTCCTTGAGGACATGTATTCGGTCTAGGCCTTCTTGAACTTCCACCCTCATCTCCTCCATCGCAGAGTGCATCCCATTGTTTTCCTTTTGTGCGTCTTTGATCTTTCTTTTTAAGGATCTACAACCATCAAGGGACTTAAGGAGTAGCTCTGAAAGCTCCTTGTTTCGCTCCTGGAGTGCTGCATTCCCATGAATCTCTACCCCATCTGCACACCTCTTCTCCTTGTGCTCTGCTGCACAAACTTTTACTTTGCCAACAGCATCTCGTTTTGTGCTCGAAGATCATTGATATGTTCCTCCATCCCACTCAATTCGTGAACCTTTCTCGCACACTCCAATGCAATAATCTCCTTCTCCTTTCCCAAGCCTGAACACATTATTTCTAGGCTCTTTCTCACTGCCAAGCTCGCGCTAAGCTGTCTTCTCAACTTTTCTTTCTCATCAATTATTGGCTCCGGAGGCCTTTTGTCCCTCAGAACATTTGGCCTAACATCTGTATTGCATAGCCGGAGCTCTGCTCTCCGCCCAACGGTTTGAGATTTCTGAATCCGGGTTTTAACATCATCGATTATCGTCATCATTCCCGCCACCCTTTGCATCTTCCGGTCATCATTGTCTTTTGTGCTGGCCTCGTTATGTTCTTGGATTAGCTTTAATAATAACTTCACATTGGGGGCAATGCCTAAACAAATAACAATAAAATTACACAAAAACCAGTACATATTGCAGCGCAATTTATTCTTTTTTCCAAAAGTTTAATTGTGATTTTCTCACAAAAGAATAATATCGGAAAAATTGTTGTCTTAATTCAGAAATTAGAAAAACACACAATACATGTCATTTTGCAATGACTTTAATATTCATGACTACAAGCAAGCATTGAAAAATTGAGATTTCTTCAGCAACAATCTTCTACATATATATGTAATGCGTATGTATGTATAGATTACCATCAAAACTATGATCTTCTGGGCGGTCTTTAGGGGTTGTGGAAGAAGCTGGCAACAGTACTGCAGGAGATGGAAATGCTAGAACCCGGTTCATATTCACCCCGAAAAAAACCCGATCAAAAACGATCTTTTGATCTTCAGGGGGAAATGGTGGATATCTTAAAGATCAAACAGAAGAATTTAGTATTTGTTTTGATTAAGATTATGCTCTAATAATTTACTAACAACATAAAATATTTCGAGAGATCCAAAAAAGAGAGACTGCCTTTGCACTCTCTCTCTCCTTTCTCTAGCTCTTGGAAATTAAAACCTTTCTTCTTCTGTTTGTTTGATGTTCGTCAAAAGCTATATGTAAATATAAAGAATTGGTGGTTCTTGGTTGGTAATCATGCGGAATTATTGGTGACGGTTTGACATTTTCTTTGGCTATTGGATGCTTTTACTTATTACACAAAATGGGTGGAGTCGTTCCCACTTCCCATGCAGTCAAGTTAGTTAGTTTTCCCTTTTTATTGCAGAAAACAAAAAAACAAAGGAAAAAAGAAAGAAAGAAAGAAAATAACACATGTTGTTGCTGGTTTGAAATAGAACCCAAACAGATTGTCCGGAAAAAAACACAAATTTTGGACTCAAGAAACTAATTAAATGTCACTGACATTATGATCTTTAGTGATATTTTTTTTTTCATTTGTAAAATTTAAATCGCATGAATAACAAGTTTGTTACCAAATTATGGCTGATGGATTTTGTGGTTTAGCCACAATATTTTGATATTGTTGTATTAAAAAACAATTAAACAGGAGTAAGGGGTTTCTTGGCAAACAAACAATAATATATCATACACAATTAAGAAGTAAAATAAATATGATCAAATTGGCTAGAACAGTCTCCTTTCTTCTAATATGCAACTCATATTTGTCTGTTTTCTAACCTAAGCGGAGTATATGATATAATAAAAATATAATAATAATATAAGAAAAAGAGTCCACCCAAATGCATGTTACCATATTACCATATCTCTACCCTTCTACCAATAATGTAATCATTCTCCGAATCACAACCCATACATATGACATGGAGCACCATTAACGCCACCATTTTTATTGATTTTATAAAATAAAAAAAATAAAAATTCAATAGTTGCCGTGGCATCAGACTGACTGCGTATTTGATTAGGAGACCGTCCACCTGCTGAAATCGAGGGTCTATATATGATATTATAGTTGTAAGCCTGTGAGTATCAAAGAGTGATTTTATTGTTTCTTGATATTCAAGTAACTCGGTCAACGAGTTATTTTGTTGAGAAAATCTTGAGATCTCGTTTTGGTTAAGATTAGGAGGCCTTATCTTGTGCAAAATCAAGAGACCTTGTTTTGGTTTAACAAGAATTCAATACAATTGTGGACTATGATGTAATCCTATTGACTTGGCTTAATCCCTTATAATCAGTTAATAGGCCGGATTATAAGGATCTTATCAGTATATTAGGAAGCTCTTGCACTCACATTTCTAACCCTAATTCGTGCTAAACCCTATTTGCTAGCAAGGGACTCACGGCTGCTTGAGTGTAGAAGACTGTCTTGCAAACCCTAGTTATCATGGCAGGATCTTGTTCCGGTAAATCATCAACCTAAAACTACGTTGCATGCTGCTCCTGTGTTGTGACTCTTAACATGCTGAGTTTATAACCCTAACGATAATTTGAAAGGAGGCTAGTTTTGCAAGGGAAGTGGGAAAGAGACCTGAAACTTATGTAGTGAATGCTTTACACATCGTACCAATGTATTAAAGTGTTCTATTTCTCTGGTTCTTCTATTTCTTCTTCTTCGTGAAGTGTTTTCTATTTCGATCATGGAAAGGTTGACTACATAGATTGAGTTTTCGATTGAACTGGCTTATTTGGTTACAACTTACAATGCAGATGAAGAATGATATGTTTCCGAATGATTCCGTTGATATGACTATGAATTTGCTGCTGCTGCTGCAGCTGAAGATATCGCATTTATCATTCCGACTGATCGTATTGTCAGCCTAAATGACTACTGGATTATGATGATGCTTATGAACTCCCAGATGAAATCTACGATGTCTTTTATTTGAATTAGACATCTTCCAGCAGCTGAAATTTGGATTCTGGTGGTCTTCAATTTGGAAAGAAAAGAAAATTAAAATACTTAATTTACCTATCCAAACAGACCTCTTCAAGGCGGAAAATACTATGGAGACCAGTACGGCATAATTTGGTGTGGAATATACTTTTTTCCCTTGATTAAATTGAAATTCCTAGTAAAATTTTATCAAGATCTAAATAAATAAATCCTAAACCCTATCCTCCTATATACCAATTCATCTACCATTCTAATAAATATCGTACTCTTTTAAAAAAATAACATTATTTTGTAGATATGAGCATAATTACATTAACAAATTATTTTCTTTCTGCATCTAAATTCACTCTTTGAAATTAATTAAATTAGAATACTCACTACCAAAAAAAAAAAAAAAAAACACTATAGTTTTTTCTTCTTTTGCTATATATTTACCGTTTGATACCAACTAGAAATACTGTAGGTCCACTGTCCTGCTCAATATCAATCACCGCCTCATAAACTTCATATTTCTCTTTGGTGTAAATCACCAAACACAAATCAGCAGCTAAAGCCGCCTATATGGTCAAGAGAAACTGGACGGAACTCCCAGACGACATCACGGCGGTGATAATTTCACGGCTGCCAGTCATCGACGTCTTAACGAGCGCTCAGATTGTGTGCAAGAAGTGGCATAAAATCTGCAATGAACCTCTGGCGTGGCGCACCATCGACATGCATGGTCACAATCCCGCTACGTTTGACAAAATGTTTAAGATGTGCCGGCATGCCGTGGATAGTAGCTCTGGTAATTTGGTCAATCTCAGTCTCGGATACTTCTGTAACGATGATCTCCTCGAGTATATCACTAACAGGTCTTTTCCTTTTTCGATATATATTTTGTTCATTAAATTAATTATTTTTGGTTTTTTTTTTTTAAATTTCTTTGTGGGTAATGTTAGGAATATTAAATTTGGAGACAAAATTTACAAACTATATGATGTATCACTAATAGGAATGAGCACGTTTATAACGTTTAAATAATAAACCAATCATCAACTTTCATGTCTTTCTAAAATTTTGTCTACAAATTTAGTCTCTCTTTATAATTGATTTTCAAATAAAAATACTACTAAATTAAACGGTTTGATCATTGATTTTCTTAATGTTATCTTATAGAATTTGTTTGATATGTATTTCTTTGTGTAATGGCTAACATACGTCTTCATCGTAATCCTTCTAATAGTTCAAAGAAAATAAGGCGCATCCTACTTACGGGTTGCCGTAGCATATCAGATAAAGGGTTGAGTAGAGTGGCTTCAGAACTTCCTTTGTTAGAGGAGCTTGACATTTCCTTTTGC